GAACTATTCCTAATCTCAATTACATATAACGCTTTAAAGAACAAAGGAGAAGGTCTTAACCAGCAGTCACTGATGGTTAAGACCTTCTAAAGATCTTCAACTTGACCTTGTGTATACTTACCGATACATGCCAAAAAGCTCTAGTCGATGACCAGGTGTACAATCACGTAAGATCTCTTAGCACAATGTACCAAATGGTTAAATTAAAAAATAAATAGAATGTATGTGGACCTTGTAAATTCTTATTAAATCGTAGTAAAGACCTAGTAAGTTTATCCTGGGCCTTTATTTTGTTCGGCACTCTGGCCCTTCCTGCTACCATGTTCTAAATAGACCTTTCGTGGTCCTTTCTGGTTATAGTTTAAGTTAAAAAAAGTTCAAGTTAAAATGTATCTTTTAGCAGGGACACAACTTAGGTATCCAAATGAGAAACCTAAGTGATTACTGAATTGGATTCATTAAATACTCGTCAAACGGTAATTTAACGTGTTTATTATTGTATTATGAACTTTATTCTGTAGCCCATAGAACTTCAGCTGAGTTTAATTGTGACACTGAGTTTAATTGTTATATTTGTTTCCTGCCATTCTTGCCATACCAACCTATTATCAATAGACTGAATGATGGAAAGCTGGTGAAGTAAATTTACCTAATGTTGCCCTAAATTGTGCAAGTTCGTTTAAGTGGACGTACATTTCACCAGTATCTAGTTAGATTCTTGATTAAAAAATTCAAATTCCTTTTGTAGATACCCAAATATCATACTTTTGAAAAGAAGTTATTACATTATAAATTATACGAAATATTTTTTTCAAACAACATTTAGGTACTATGTGCAAATCTTATAAGACAATAAATGTAAAACTTTTGTAAATTCTGTTAAAATGCACTTATTTATATTTCGTGGGATAAGTACGCTCTTATTGGAAAATACACAAGGATGTGTTGCTGTTTTGTTTTCAATTGTAATATTTTGAAACTGGGTCATGGACATAAAATTTTAACGATCAAATTTTTAAGTCTTCTGATACAATATCCAGATTTAAGCTTAATTGAGCAAAATTACTTAAAGTGATGATGAAAATAGGGAAGTATAATAGTATTTTTACACATCTCACACACGGTCGTCTGATCACAAATTAGTTGGAGCCTGTAGGTGCTAACCAGACTACTAATAAACATAGTTCAATATTTCTAAGTTCATATATAAAATACACCTCTATCTCCAAAATACATACACACAATTATACATCTCTATGCAGGGGCACCTCAGTACCAGCTTCTCTGGACTGCATCCAACAAAGAGCGACTCGAATCGTCGATAGCCCAAACATACCCGATCGGCTCGATCCCTTGGCGTTACTTAGAGATGTGGCTTCACTCTGCATTCTCTATCGCATATATCATTGAGAGTGCATGGAGAGACACATTTGGCCTTGCACAACCAATCTGTGGAACGGGTTATCGTCGGCGGTATTTGCGGACCGATACGACCTTCAAACCTTCAAGAAAAGACCTCCTTCTTAAAAGACCAGCAATGCGTTTGTGACTCCTGAGTTGCAGACGTTCATGGGCGGCAATGGTCAATTTCCATCAGGTGACCCGTCTGCTCGTCTGCCCCCTGTAACATAAAAAAAAACTCATACATATGACAAATGATGATGATGACTCATCACACAATAAATTGTCTTGGGTAGGAATCGAATCCACGACATCTGGCTAAGCCATGATGAATGTACCTATTGCATTGAATATTTTCGTGGGAGAGACCTGCTTCAACACAAATGAACCGGTTCAATTGGATGATACCGCACCTCGTTATTTTTCCCAAGTGAGTGAGGTAGGTCCAAATCACCCTTTAGCTAATAAATGTGTTCGTGGGTCACTGCCATTGATCCTGGGCCCCAATCCTGCTAAATTAATATTGTATCAATAGACTGTCGATGGAATGTCCTCGAAATAGTTTTTCGCCCCCTGCATCTGCCCCTTTCGTATTCCACTAACTATGTAAGAAACATTGCCTCCCGATGACTTGCCACTCATACAATTGTCGTCGATGTCTTTGTAATAGCGTGTTAATGGAATGACAGTGGCTTGTACGTTAACATAAATTAGCAGAAATGATCCTGGTGTACAGGAGTTACGGTGGTGGGCTTGTGGGAGGGATAGTCCCGTAAGTGTAAATTCCCTTCCCCCCTAAATACTGGGGAGGGGGACACTCCCTTGCGTCCCTTGACTTGCAGGTGTCTATAGGCAGCCTTAGTCAATTACCATCTGTGGATCCGTCTGATCGTTTGTACCGTATAGGTACTTACCAGACTGGCATAGTAGGCCAAACCTCCTTTCTAAAGAGAGGCCTATGTCCAGCGTTGAAGTATTAAAGGCTGTTGATGATAATGATGAATTTTTCCAGATAATTTTAGGTTTTCACATCTGCCAGATGTCCTTATTGTTTTTTTATAACTAATATTGTAATCATCACACGAGGCTATATGTAACTTACACGTTATTAACAGGCCTCTCGATCTAGTGGTTAGTGCTCCTGAATGCTACGTCAGAGGTCGTGTGTTCGATTCTCACCCAGGATAAATATTGTTTGATGAGCACAATCATTTGTTCTGTGTGTGGGTGTAATTTATCTATAAAATGTAATTTATCTACATTATTTTGAAATGTGTTTGTAGGTCTATTTATTAGCAGTCTGGTTACCATAGTACAGGCTCTGTTTAGTTTGGGATCAGACGGTCGTGTATGAGATGTATAAAGTAGCAGACCAACAAAAATCGGATACAGGGACCAAGGCACCGGTGGATAGGACTCCAAAGACAGGAACCTTCTCCCTATACGGTTCGTGTCGAAGAGAATTGCGTTTTGAATCTAGCTGTCTAACTTGAAAACGTGTTAATATTATTGTTATTACTTTATTAAATGATTAATCCACATAAATTGAATGAGTTATAAAATAAATGAATTATATATTATTCATATCAAATAGTCACTTAATTGTTGTTTGTGTGTCATATGTATTGTGACCGTGAAGATGGATATATATCTTACACATCTAGTTTTTTAGCCCATTTACGGTTCGTTAGAATCTTATTATTATATTATAAAGACAGCAAACTAGCTAAAAATAGGTAGGATACCTAATGTAGGTAAATCATTCTTTAGTTTTTTTTCAGTTGTATTTATTAAACCAAATATATTTCTAATGGGAAATATTATGTAAAGATTCAATCTAATAATACCTAGGTTCAATCTAATAATAATAGGTATGTTTAAATTTTTAATATTTTTTTACAAAACAAAAAACTTGACATTTTAACAAAACGCTTTTTACAAGCTATATTTATTTGTTACAACCTTGTAATATCAAAACAATTTAAAAAAAAACCCAATGTTCTTTAGAATATCCTCGGACAAAGCAATACATGAAACTGTCATTAACCTTATTAAAAATCAATAAAAATATTCTCTGTATCGCCAAATAAACGGCTTTAACTAGCCATATCATGCATTCCATACGTTTACGGTGAAAACATCACAATAACAACATAAAACCTATACTTATGCAATGTTCTACTGCCTCACAGTCGTACCACCGACCTGATAAAGCTGAAAAGGCAACTTAAGCCTATAAAAACCATGCACTAAACACGCATAACACTCCAAAGTGTAACAAATAAATAAACATCTCAGGCAATAAACGGTTTTATTTTAATAGTCGTAAAGTTTGTTATTGCACATGTGCTCGGTGCGGTTACGACCAACGCTTATGAATGAATCGTGCGATAGAGAGGGGAACATTCAAAGAAACGAGACGAATAGCACCCGTCCGTCCACGTGGTCGGTGTAACACAATTTAGAGCAATTCTTATTTTATATTCCAGCTTATCGTTTGTGATGGATTACGTATTTAAAAAAAAGCAAGTCAAACTATTATTTAGTGATTATATAATGATTTTTTATTCAAATAATATTACAAAATTATAGGAATGTATCCCACCTGATAATAATATGTACTAATGTAACAAGCAATAAAATATGATTTTAAACATTAATACAGATATGCGTAATAAGTACCAGGGCTCCTTGTAAGCAAAGTGATTGCCAATGGAATAACATATTTTTGGAAATCTTTTTAGATTATAAATATAACAGAAAATATATTTTTTTTAGGTTTTTTTATTATGCATTCAGTTTTAGTTAAAAGGAAATAAATATTTTGAGTGGTGTTGTGTTCTTTCAGGTAAAAAAAATATTATGTATTTCACAATAATGTACCTACATTTCTTTATATCTATGTATTTAAACCAAGTTGCCATTATTTCAATAACTTCATTTCGCTGAGGAAATCAAAGTAAAACTGCAGAAAGCCAGCTATGGGTACTTTATCTGAACTGTTCCCAATTGAAACAAGTATTATCATTAAAATTTCAAATATTACAAAATAGACAGTAAAATTTTATTAAGTACAAAATAATTACAAAAAATAAGTTTAAATATTAAAAGTAATGTTGCAATTCTGTTTAAAGCCATTCAACTTGACAGCTAGAAGTGCTGGAATGGTTTGTGATTGGCGGTGAATGTTCTGCACCGGATCACTATTGGTGTAGACGAGGCAGGCGCGGGGGTGTGCGGGGCCTGGCGCCGTTTCGAACAATGGCCGTCGGAATGGTCGTTAGCGAATAGCTTTTATCTCTTTCTAATATAAGCCACGCAGGTATGAATTAATGAGACGGAGAGGGTTCCGGTAGGTCGCCTCCGATTATAGTCGTGTCTCACTCGCACGCACGTGGCAAGTTTCGCCGTCTCGAGCGCGGAGCGCGGCAGCGGTAACGCTCGCCACGACGGGGAATTCGGAGTCGTAGAGCCTCATACGCGGGTCATAAACGATCCGCGGCCATAGTAGAGGTGCACGCGCGAGAATCGATCCGAATCGCCGGCGATAAACGCATCTCCCGCGAGGCGATCGTCGCGCGCCGCGTCGCCGCCGAGCGATGAGTTCCAAGTTCATCATCGATAGCATGCTCCCGAAGTACCACCAGCAGTTCCACCACCAGAATTTGTTCGCGGGTGCTGGGGCGTCGCCTATAGAGGCGTCGCTGTCATCTTCTCTGTCGTCGTCTCTGTCGACGTCGCTGTCGAGTTCGCTGTCAGGCGGGCTGGGAGCGGCAGCGCTGGGGGCAGGCTCGCCGGGCGCCGGCAGCCCGCAGCGCTCATCATCCTCGTCCTCGGCGTCACCGGGAGCGCCGGCGAGGATGTATCCTTACGTATCGCATCACCAGCAGTTTGCGGGTTCCGTGCCGTTCTCTGCTGGCGGTGGCCTCTCAGCGGCCGATGACAAAAGTTGCCGATACCCAACGGCGGTGGGCGGTGATCCAATGGTGAATTACGCTCTCGGTCAGCACAACGGAGGTGCAGCGGTCTCGGCTGCATCAGCCAGCATGGCGGCTGCGGCACAGTTTTACCATCAAGCAGCGGCTTCTGCTGCATCAGCTGCGTCTGCTGCCACCGTTGACGCCATGGGAGCGGCGTGCTCGCAGCCTTCAGCTCAGCCCCTTCCAGACATACCGCGATACCCCTGGATGTCGATCACTGGTAAATGTTTCACTCCTTCACTGCATGGTTTGTTACAGCTGTTTTTTGTTATCTGAAATAGATTAAATATAGTACTTAATTTATGTTTTGCTTTTAAAAGACAAAGAGCCAGAGCAATCATGTTAGACATTGCAAAAAAGTATTACCCAGGTACTTATCATAATATCAGGCGCTTGTTTTTTATGTTTTCTATGTATGTATGTAATAGATTGCTTTAGTCTTAGATAAGTACATGTAATGGATTAGTCATTAGTTACTACTTTTGAAATTTGTCAAGTAATGCCTATACTTATTCAGCGTCCAAAGCACACCCAAACAAAACTGAGAATTCCAATAAGAATAACAAACGATTCTACTTTATGGTAATGAATAGATATAGTTATTCTAATAATTATGATCATTTTAATAATTTAACAATAAAAACTTTGTAATATTAATACAATAAAATGGGTCATTATTAGATATTTTTATAGTCAACAAATCGTTATTGATATACCTACAAGAATAATTCGGTTGAAATTTAGCAAATGGTCACTATGAACGGTTCTACGTGCAATAATTTAAGGTGAACATTGAATATAAATACGGTAATTAAAGAAAGTATAAGGGTGTTTTGTTATAAACAGGCAATAAAGCAAAGAGTATAGAGGTCGTAAAATGTGGCGCGAATGCGTCGGGCTAGCTCGGGCCGCGGTCGGCCGCCGCTCGGCCCGCCCCGTCGCGGCCGCCGACGGCACATGGGCGGGACGACATTCGACGCGATGTAACACACTCGTACTCATTACAACCTACCAATGACGATTATTTTATTACTTCCATGAACACTTTTTGTACTTAATTTATTTTATTACTTAATTTGTCGTTTATACTCATATAATGCAAATTAAAAATATTTAAATTACATGTTTTAAAAACAATTATATTAGCAAGTTAAAATTAACATTAGACCGGCTGTCATAAATTTATTTATTTAAATTATCTTTGGAACTTCAACGATTTATTCACTAATATTAAATAGATAAAACTGATAGTTATATGGTCTATATATACCTATTAGGTAGATAAATAGTAGCATCACTACATTTAGTCTTGATGAGAAATTTAATTAAATCAAAACTAAATCTAATTACTGTAAAAAATCAGAAAAATTAAATAACTACCTATTTATATTTAAAAAACGTAAACGTACCTTCATAAAATATTTTAATGAGTTTTTATTTTAATAACTTAGAAATACTTAAGGTAAGCTTAAGCCTACTACATAAGTAGATATTTACCAAAAAACATAATTCCAAATACAATCAATCAACTAGCAAAACTACCCGACACGATTGTACAGAGAGTAATAAAATTAGGCAGACTCATTAAATGTAGGTCAGAACGAATAGCTACTGTACATACCTAAATATATGCCTAGGCTTACTTGTGAGGTCCACTTAGTACTCAAAAAGGCAAGCCATTACAGAATTAAAGTGCCTGTACGTTTTGAATACAATGGCGCGATTATTTTTATTCGCAGTTTTATTGTCTAGCAGATCCTCTTCCGTATTTTATAACTAAGTACATATTAAATTAACACGCTCTAAAATCAATCAATACTATATAAGATTACATAACCACAAAAATACATTTATTAGATCGAAATGTTGTCCAAAACAATACTAAATTATAATTATAGTTATAGTTTATTAATATGGTAATTATAGATTAATTATTAAGTTAAAAATTTATAAAGTTACTAGACTCAAAAGCAATTCTACATAAAAAATTAAAAGTTATTGCAATAATAATTAAAATAATTACTTAATGGTATATTACTGTATAATTAAAAGTTCTAATTAAACAATAAAACACACACGAGGATTAGAACAGCGGCCTAAATAGCCCACAATGCGTTCACAACACAAACCTAGTAGGTAATTACACAGAATAACGAGACTGTAATGACAGGGGTATTATTAAACATAGTTTGTGCAGCATTATACTTAGTTAGCACATAATTAAAGTTGAAGCAAATAAAAAAACAATAGTTAATATAGCTACCTATAGTTAAGTGTGGGATTGAGGCAAGTTCTGATAGATCGTCTTACTTAGTTTTAGGGTTTTTGTAACGTACCTTTAAATTTATTAATTTAAAGTGAAATACATTGATCAGTTTATCATTGTAGTGAATGCCTAGGTATACCTACTTATATCCAAATCCAGGCTTTAAGATTAGCTTAACACTAAATTACATTTTTAAAAGTAATTATTTTATGGTAGGTAGTTAGGTATACCGCATCATAACATTTATTAAAATTCTAAATGTAATTAAATTGAGTCTCAAGTTATTATTTATATCTTAGTATCCATTTAGATGTAAATAATAAATAACTTTACAGTTTTTTTTTATGAAAAAAAGTTAGTAAGTTTGTGAGGTAAGCAACGATCTTTTTACTTAAAGTTTTGATAACCCAAAAGGAAAAAAACTGCAATTAAATTGAGTTTTTAATTGCCTAATTAAGATATAAAAACGCAAGGAGAACAATAAATAATGAAAAATGGTTGGTTATATACCTAAAATGCAGGAAGCGTTATAATAATATTAGTTGACATGTTAATTACATTATTAACTAAGTTACCTAATGAATGTCACATTGAAAAATCATTTCGTAGGTTTTTTTTTCAAAGAAGTACCTGCCTGAATATGTAGGTAGGAGATATACCTAACTTTATAAATTATTTTAAGAGCCGTAGGTACGGTAGACGCCAATAGTTAATATATGAGCTAAGTCAATATGCATTTACCATCTATTTTATGGTAGAAAAACACATAACAGACTCTTTAATGAAGCACATCAGTCTCTTATTTATTTGCTTTTGTATCATTAATCAAATATATATATAACGTAACGATTGTAACGATATTAGTATTTTAAGCATTACACAAATAAATACCTAGGTAAGTAGGTACCTGCTTCGTTACCTAATTAAAAGGTATCAGTTGGCACTTTTCATTGTCTTCGCTAAATATTATAGTTAAATAAAGAACTTAAATAAAAACAAAAAAAAGTAAGCAGAAACTTTAATACGTACGTCTTTCTTCAACCTCTTCTATAAGTACCTAGGTTGGTAAAGTAAATTTGATTTTATGAAAACAACAAATAAATCGAATTTAATCAAAAATTAGCGTCGTCCTTTAAAAAAAAAAAAAAAAAGATAAAAAGGAACGGAAGTAATGTTTCGGGACATTAAACTGACGCAATGGCATAGTTGTCAAACTATTTTTTTTTATCAAAGCTACTGTATAGTCATAACAGCGTCGTACATCACCGAAAATTATATAAATGGTCTATAATCATCTTGTTTTAGTTTAGGAATGGACTATTTTCGTGATTTGTCGGCAATGTTGGCGCATAAAAATGTCTGGGCTGATGTAGGTGAAAATTCGTCTCGTGAAGACAAAAATAAAGCGGTAGGTCCTCGAACGCGCGCACACAAAATTAAAATGGCGGATTTGTCAACGGCCGACATTTATTTGTCGTAACGTTCTATATTCTACAACAATTTGACAGTGTAACAGCGTATTACGTTAAAACACTCGAGTAGTATTTGAAAAGTAGGTAAGTTTGAATGAACTTTATTTTGAGTCAATGTTGTTGAATTACTGTAATATTTCGTTACAAAGATCACAAAACGATAGGTACCTACAGGTAGGTATTTAAAATTTAGTTATGATTCGGAAAAGAAAATCATTAATTTGTTATAGAAACAGAATTATAACTAAGTAATTCAACTTATAGAGACTATTGAGACAAATAGGTACTTACTTTTGTATTCTCTAGTGAATTGGGTTGAATATATCAAAAGACTGCCAATTTATACTGAGTGTCTATTATAAGAGTACAAAAATAAAACAAATAAAAAATCTTTTATGGCAACGAAATCGAAACAATTTAAAAGTATATCAACATTAGTCCACAGTAGACATGGAAATTATTGCTACTTTTCATTTAAGTAGGTATTCACTCATTTTATGAAATGATTTGTTTTGGTCACAGTAATTTCAAATGTGATAAATCACTTCTTATATTTGGTCATAGTCAAAGATTAATGCCATCAAAATCAATCAAAGCGACTTTTGTTTTTTATTTAGTCACAGGTGTCACAGGTGTGATGAATAGATTTAAAAAACATATGATTAATGGCTGATACTGTGCCTAGTCCACAGTATCAGCCATTACAAACTTTCAAACCCTACTCGACAGTAAACATTGTGGTACCGCGGAAGAGACGAGCGCCAGTCACATGTGTGCGGCTCACACGGCGCATGCGCTGAACAAATATGGCCGGCCACCGTAGCCAATCGCAGCACTCTGCGTGCAATCGTAACCCACATGCCATCAAAAGCCCTTTATACTATTGATTGATACTTGTCGAACGTTGTTAATTTAATTGTCAAAACTGCATTCGTACTATAGATACAGAAAATCCAGTTTTATGAGCAGTTTTAAATGTTTTTACATTTACCTACTTAATTTCAATTTTTAAATGTCCCAATTCACTTGAGTATATTTACGATCTTAACTAGATTATTATTCATGCTAAAAATAAATTCAAGTTGAGAAATAACATTATCTTTACTGAATGAAATATGGAACTGATACCAACCTTTTTGGTTTTAGATTTACATCGAAGTTTGAAGTGTTTCTCAGGCAAGTTTTTAAATTCTCTATCGCCCAACGAAAGCCTGTTGTTATCTGTTTAAACCTGTTGCGAATTTTCGAGGACCAATATATATTTTTGTATGCACTCTGTTTGTAATTAACGATTGCACTCAATCGAGACAATTTGAATGTTTCCGATGAGTAAAACTCGTTAAGTTTGAATGTTGCTAAAAACCGGAGTATCTGAATATGCGTTCTTAATTGGAAATAAATTTATTTGTAAATCATTTTATAAAATTTTGTGATGTGAGCTATGCGCAAAATAATAATAAAAAATTAATTAGCGTAAAGATCTATTATTACTTTGATCAAATGCCAAAAACAGTTTTTAATAACTCCAACTGAAATCATTTTCATTGTTTTTTATTATGGCCAAGAAAGTGTTATATATATATATAATAGATAATCATATGTGTGTAACCTATCTACTAGTAAATATAACGTTCAACAGTAAAAAGTTAAACAATGAAAAGAAAAAGAATAAATTCTTACAAAAATAAAAACGAATAAAGATTAGCTAATAATATAAAAGACAATCATAATTCTTATTTAATTCTATCAAAGTTTCCGTTTCCAAACTTTTTTTTCTCTTAATTAACGCGTTTTATTCTGTAAAATGTAGATTTTATTTAAGTTGTAGTTCAGATATAATTGACATTTCCAATTATATTTTTCTGTTGTGTAAATGATGCGAGCAATTTTTGTCTTTTGAAGTTAGGTAATAAAACACTTTTTATATCTTTGTAGGACGTATTTCAAATAACTTGGAAAATATGTGATTCATAATTAGACTATTTTTGTGTGGCGCGCTCCGTTTCATAAATTTTATTAATTTTAAAGTTTATTAATTAAAGAAATATAATAGATTCATGTTGGCAAAGTTGTAAGTGTATACGAATAAAATTGATTATTTAATTAATCCCCAAGCTAGAAGAATAGTCAGTGAAGGATTAGGTATAATGTCATTATAACCTTTTATGATTTAGTCATAAAAGGCCTAGATGTTACACAACAGAACTCCTGTACGTCCAGTTATTATTGTGCAATCAAATACAATTTTAGATCAATGTCTTGTCCTTTAAGTCATTGTCATTACAAATTAAAGCTTTAATTGATAAAAGGTTATTAAAATGTTTTACTGGTAATTTAGATTGAAGATAAAGTGTAATTGTTTGATTGTTTCAATCTTTAGATTCACATGAGCGCTTGTGAATCTAATTATTAACTAACTCTAAACATTTTACGACTCTCGTCAATCGTATTATTTACACTAATTATAAATAACTGTAGATGTAAAAAAGTCACTTGTTGATAAACTACCCGTTATATTCTCTTGATCAGAACTGTGGGTAATTTTCCCGGATTTAATGACTCATTTGTATCATTAGAGCTTTAAAATTTGCCGCACAATAGATGTTAACATTGTTTAAAAAACAAATTGTAATCTTTATATTGTTTGGTTTACTATAGGAGCCAATGACACATTTCTTTCTTAGAAAGTATGCTTTAAGGAAACTTTAAACATTTTTACTTTACTGGCTATGACCATGGCGTAATTTTTGAAAGGTACCTAAATATACTTACTCGCATATCTAAACCAAACAATTTTTTTCCGATGGAGAAAGGTTCCGTGCGGTGAATTATAGGTAAAGAAGATTTAATGTGATATTTTAATTTTGAGATTTTTGCATTTACTCTAAAGGAATAATAATATACCTATAGGTAGGTGATAAAATGAATACTGTTCCAATATTATCTTCTAAATTTTAGACTCAATTCTATTTCTTTGAAAAACCATTTTTTTTATTTTAGGCATTTGTTAAAAAAATATTAAAGAAAGAAATCAGAATTTAAATAGCAAACAATAACGACAGAAGGACCTCTATGGTTTTGCAATGTACCTAGACAGTTAAATATTTTTCGATTTCTTTGACCCGGTATACCTATAAATAGTGTGAATTGAAAAATTTATACTTCTAAAATTAAATAATTGACCTATATATTCAAATTATAATAGTATCTAGGTACTAACCTACTCACAATTATTACCAGTTTAGAAATATTTGATGTTTTAATAATTAAAAACAAAAATTTAACCTTCATAATACCAAATTTTTGATATTTTTATTTTGAAATAAATCCTGTTACGGCAGAATTGCAAAGCAGCAAAAATAAACAAGAATTTTATGACTTAAAATTTAAATTCTGCAGGTTTTTTTTAGTACGAGACTATGGCATAAAAAAAAGATTATAGGTACTATTCCGATAATCGGTTTTTATTTCACACAATTATATTTTGTAAGTAATTTTAACTCCGTTGTAAAACCCTGTGTGTATTTAAAATTGCACGGCAGCAGAATTTAAAAATATATTCTTTGCTTTAAAATATTGTCAAATAGGTACTTGTTTTTAAGTAATGTTATAAGTAGGTATAATGATTTTCTTACTACGTATTAATATTCAATACATGTTGTATTAACTTATCTCAATGTTTTTGTTGTTGTATTTGTAGGCTTTACATGTTGTGCATGCTACTCGGCCGAAACAAAGAACTTTCAATACGATTGATAATAGATTTTCCATTTCCAGATTGGATGAGCCCCTTCGATCGGGTGGTCTGCGGTGAGTTCAATGGTATTTATCGTTTCAAATTTATTTTCTTTTAGTTTTAAGTATATTTAGTTTAGGAATCTTTACACACACGCGATTAAACAACGCAACACACTAAACGGCCTGGAATGTTTAATTTTAAAAGTAAAATATTTAATGTATAACTTTGGGAATCGCATTCGTATAACGTTATACAGAACGTAATAAATAAACGTGTTGAAAATTGGCCATTGAATAGAATTATTTAAAAATGTTTCATTTAGAAGCTCTTCTCCTACCGCCATTAATTAACATTCAGTAAAGTCTATGTTTTGGTTATTTTGTCAAAACAAATCTATAATGGCTTAGACTTTTTGTCCGGGGTCCAATTATTATTTGGAAACTATAACTCTAATTTAATTAGTGGTTATTTTAGTCAGATAAATATGAAATTTGTAAACACAATCCATTTAACTTTAGCGGTTTATAAAAAATATAATAGTTAATTAAAATATAGTAGTTTATATAAAATATGTAAATAGTATTTAATGTTTGATAATTGAATAAGAGGCCTATAAGAGGAAAGATTTCGACTAATAGGAACCTATTGAAGCGTTGTGGTCGCATAAGTGTGTAGCTTTAGATTAAAAGATGCTATCATAAACTTATTTTGCAATTATTCTTTTAAAGACGCTTTGTGTAATTGTTGCAATTAACCGACCTTTTCAATTAAAAACAAGATTGTCATACCTTTTTTATTGGTAGCTAAATTACTGTTGGCATTTTTTTTTTCTTAACACTTCTAAAATAGCTATAAATCCAATAGGTACAAATGCTACCTGTCTTTAGTGTCATGTATCACGTTTTTATTCAACGGTTTTACTAAAATTTCTCCAAGGCATTGTTAGTTTTTTACCATTAAATGTTAACAATTGCAAATCGATTGTTCTATCGCAAAAAAGTGACAAAAGGGTTAAAGAGATGCACAATAAACAAACTTTCGCAAAAGAACAAAAGGCTAAATTGCAGGTCAATATTATGAAGCAGGCCATTAAGGTGCGAGTGGTTAAGAGGACTTGACTATTATAAGTAAGGTGTTCCGTATAAATGCGAACAGGTTATTTTAAAATTGTTTTATTCCACTTATTTGTTCCTAATAATAGTGGTATCTGTTCTAGGATATATTACACGTAATCCTCCGCCTCAATAGCTGTAAATCAGTAAACTATGCATATTCTAGTAGAACATAAATCTACTGTCATTGACAATAATATTATTGTGTAAGTACATAGTTCACGGAATATTGCTCTTATCTTAAGAAGCGCGTACCTACATTTGCCAAAGATTTTCATTTTTGCTTACGCAGTAACAATATTGAAGTGACTGCAATAGTTTATCTATTTGTTATTTCACAAGAGATGCTGGATGGTTTAGACCAATGACTCAATGAACCATAATTATAGAACAGACAAGCTACTTTCACCAATTTGTGTGAATTTAACCGAAAAAACTTAAACAAAGGGTTCACGGCAATAGGGTTGTGCAAATTCTCGTTTTTATTGTAAACAGAGATCCTTTGTGCTTACAAGATGTTTACAAATAAGGTATAAGTCAAAGGGTTTTAAATCACGGTGTCGAAAGCTTTTAAAACAAGCTTAGAAAGGGGTCCATTGTTTTGTTGGCACGCCCGCAAATTGCTTTATTACGGACGCTTTGCGGCTATTTTGCGAAAGTCGATATCGCCAAAATCGTAGTCAAAACATTGTTTGTTATCATACGGTGTTCACAAGTGAACTGAAAGGGCCGACTTTGCACTTGCCACAATAAAAGATCATAAGAGGTTTGAACGGTATAACTTGTATCTTGCACGCCAAACAAATTCACAAGCATTTTATTTATAAACCTATCACTTAGGAAATTCACTTCATTCGTTTGCTCGACTCTGAAATGCGTCTCGAGCACTTTTATCATCGGTCCGAACACAAACAGTATATCAACGTTAAAAAATGGGTAATCATAACACTTTCGGGTATATAAAAGAATTTTATAGCGTCATAACAATTAAGGCTTAATCACTGTCAATCAGAACTTCACCGTTACAAAGTGATTGACGCTAGTGGTATAAAAAAAAGTTTGTCCGCGAACAATAACTGTTGAGAATTGACCATAAAGTGGCGACCTTGCGGCAATAAAAATTTAACGAGCCAAGCCCGTGGCGTAGTATAGTACAAACACATTGTCAGATTCAGAACGTGACTGTCATAGAAACAGCTGGGCTGACATCTGTGTGCTGTCTCAGCCAAGATGACCGAACAGCGTTTTATAACTCATTAAAAAACTAAAAGAGTTGGGGAAACAAACGATTGATTTATGCAAGCAATTTTATATCTTCTTTACGCAAATTAAAACCTGTTTGGTAAAACTAATCGAAGATTTATTGGTTTTTTTTATATTTGTCTTTGAATCAACGACAGGAGTATTCGATGTTTTTAAATCTACATTTTAAAAGTGTTTAATTAACTTTGAGATAATGCATCGTGAGCGTTTTAGATGTGTATTATGAATAGGAGTAGCGTACGTTTACGGAATATAGGCCCCTAAGCATTTAAGACGGAAATTAATTTCCATAATTGTCTATTTGACCACCGAGTTGCGTAGTCGTGTTAAGAATTGCGAATGCGTGGATGCACGTCGACGGCGTGCGTCGCCAAATAAGTTCACCCTGTACATGCATATTGCAGATATTACGGCCTTATACTGCTTATCTTTGGATGTACTTCAGTGTGCTGATATTTAAACGTATATCTCTTAATGTTAAGATGTCTTATTTTGTACTTTGTAGTCTAAAAATAGGTAGAGAGCGCTGAGTTTTTAAGTCGTCTGAGATATACCTAGCCACGTAATTTAAATTCGTAAAATGATATCTATTACCTAAAGGTTTTTTATCTTTGTGACAAAAAATTTATGTGTGCAGTAATAGTTGCATTGTTAATTTAAAGTTATTTAAATCATGAATGAAAAGGTGTTTTTAATTGAACATGTAGGTACTTATTATGGTACTTATATCTCATAGGAAAATTATAATCAATGGAAACTTTTGCGTAATGTCACAAACATTTTAATTTTTTTTTGATGGACACTGAGACAGACTATCAATATATATATAATTAACAATATGAACATAAATCTATACAAGTCCGGGAAGCGCGTTACGATACGGGACAGAGTTTACCGATAAAAATATCGGATAGTGATAATAAATTTATTTTCAAGTTCATACAATGAACAACATCAATGCCAGTCATGTACGATACTGTCGCCGGTTACTTACGCTATCAAATGCCTATTCATTAAACGAACAAGACAATTGAGTGTGCATACGCGTACCTACATTGTGTCTCCAAGGCTGTATTTGTTGATGTTCTACATTGCGTAACAGACTATTTTGGTAATGAAACCAAAGTTTATTGAACTCTTTTTTACTAGACATTATAATGCACCTAGGTATATAATTTCACTAGATCAGCTCACAGACTGATAGCGATCTACATATTAATTATTTACATATCTAGATATGTGGATTACTATTAGCGTGTTTCAGAAATATGTCTGCGGTCAGGTGTTTTGATTGAAATTTAAACCGTCGAACAACTACAGAATTTCTTATATCTGATCATGATTTCATCATCTACAGCCTTTAATAGTGCACTGCTGGACATAGGCCTCTCCTTAGAAATGAGGTTTTGTCCTACTATACTTACTTATATATAATGGTAAAGAAAATTGATCGGCGCGGATTTCCTTTCAATCAGCAGTAGGTTCAAGACGTCATTTCTAAGTGCTACTAGCGAGAATCGCACTTAATATACAAGTGCACCATTTGCTCAGTGACTCGTCTAAGCATAAAGTTTGTCATGTGATTCGGTTGTAGAAGTCTCATGGCGTTCATTCCTAGTAAAACTTCAGACGGAACCAGTTAGACTAGGATATGACCTAAATTTAGTTCTCGGTATACGCAGGCGGCATTCAGACTTACTTGCTTTCTCAAGCATTCACAAAATCTATTTATTTTACAAATACTATAGGTATTCTTTAGATTTTACATTTAAAAATAATAATATAATAATAATATTTTCTGACATCTGACACACAACTCATCAGTTTCAAACTATGCAGAGCTTGTATAGTACAAGCTCCGCAAATATTTGTAGATCATACAATGATTTGGTCCGACCCGGGAATCGAACCCGAGACCTCAGCACAGCAGTTGCACACGCTACCACTGCACCACCGAGGCAGTCCAAAATGTATTATATACATCAATGTCTAAAAGCTTCATTTGAGATGTTAATTTTCAATTATGGAACGCTTCAGATGCTTTACGTTCTGTATTTAATAGTGTTTGTAAAAATAGGTTATGAATTTCCAAACAAAAATACGTAACTTTCTCGTGTGGTAGTCTATTTAGGTCTTATAACTTACTCATTTCATTTATATCCATGAGCTAAGACTTGCTACTTGCCTGTATCACTTGTAAATTATCTTGAATGATCTTTGGGTCCTACTTCACCTATCGCAAGTAATATTTAGTAGCTCATAGTTATATTAGGGGTTAAAGTATGAAATTGCCGATTTGTACTAAAACAATGATACTCGTTTTTTTCTAAGATGTAACATATTTATTTAGGTATTCAAAATATTTCCCCTAATTATCTATACATTGCTGCCATCTAAACGGAAGTTCATTTATGACTTTATGATAGAACTCTAGGGATCTAGATTCGACAAACTGTGTGAAAGCAGTTTGTACTGCCCCCTGGGAAGAATTTTTTTATCATGTAGAAAATTTAAAAAAAAACACTAAAAAATGGCAGTCCGTTGGAGCAAGGTCTGGCAAGTAGGTATGGAGGATTGCGTATGGTTTCTAACTACAGCTCCTGTAGAATTACAACATTATCTGGTGCCTAGTGGTCATTGCCGGCATGGTACGGAGCGAGAGTTCGTGGACAAAGGAGATGGCGGAACGGGACCGGGAGAAGTTTAGA